ACACTGCAGTGGTAATCATATTGCAATATATAAATGTGTTAAATCATCTTAAATTATGTGATGGGATACAGGTGTTAGCTAACACTGCAGTGGTAATCATATTGCAATATATAAATGTGTTAAATCATCTTAAACTTGTATAATGCTATATGTCAATTTATCTCATTTTTAAAAATTATCCAATGAGTGTTCATAATTATCCCTTCAAATCCAAAAAAAAAACAACCACAAAGATTTCTATGGGAATTCTATTATAGAAGAAATTATAAAGATTATTTTTAATAAAAATATTTGTGAGGGTGAGGGCAAGACAGGGGGGATGAGGGGACAATGGGGGGATAAAGACACATTTGTAATACCTTAAGCAATAAAAAATTTAAAAAAATATTTTCTAATAAAAAGTGGAATAAAGATTCTTGGCCTTAATGAGGATCAAGATAAGCTACCCCAAAATATGGAACCTTGGCATATTGAAACTTTTATGCTGAAGGAGTCTGAGAAAACAGCAGAAGCAGGAAGGTCTCTCTGACTCCCCCTGACCTTTTTCTACCCTAACAGATCATAAAATTCTCATGTGAGAGGTGCCCTGCCTATACCCAGAGGAAAGGAACATCCTTATCACCAAAGAAAAAGAGACAATGAGAAAAATCCTAACAAACAGGACTTGCTAAATTTCTCCCAGTTGACTACACTTACCTCAGACTCCTAGTTTATCATCTTCCTCTACGACTGTCCACTCTTCATGAAAATATTCAGGTCTGTTTCTTCAGGGCTTCACTTCCTTGTGAAGGATCTCGTGTCACGTGTTTAAAAAAAGAGATAAGCTCAAAATGGAGTCTCGTGCTAAACCCATATCATCAAACCAAGACTCAGTACCTAACCTAATTGCAATTTCAGCTTCTCCCAGGAATACAATCTTAAATCAGTCAATCTGCAGTTTCCTGGTCAGCATTAGTGAGGTAGGATAGACTCCCTCCATCCCCCAAAGAAAGATGAGGTAATAAGCTTTTTCCTTGTCCCTGGCCTGTTTTGCCTGTAAAAGCCTAATTATATATTCAAATTGACTTGGTTAAATTTTGTTTTTAACACATGTAAAACATATATTAAATAAATTTGCATGTTTTCTCCTATTAATCCGTCTTTGTCAGTTTAATTTTCAGACCCAGCCAGGGACCCTAAGAAGTTTGAGAAAAATTTTTTCCTCCCTTATGGCTGCCTTTCAGGAAGGTTTTGAACAAAATTAGCATGGATACATTCTAGCAAGAGTGGAATTTTGGCTCCCATTTCCTGACTAAACCATTTGTTGTGGTGGGACTTCCTAGTTCTCTTTTTTTTAATGTCTCTTCCAACATTCCCACTGCCCTCCCCTAAGGTGCTTACCTACATTCCCATTCCTCCGATTACCTTTTTAAGCCCCTTAGGGGCCCCACCTATGTAACTTGATCCCTCTGTTTCAGCAGGTTTTTCCTGAAGCTCTGGCCACTCCTTTTGACTTATCAGAGCAAAATTGTAGCCATTAAACTGATTAAAGGAATGTGTAGAGAGTATGCCATTTTCTCCTTAAAAAACTGTTCTGAGGGAAAAATTGAATAGGAGTAAAGTTATTTTTCAAATAAAAGCCAATGCAGAAATATAAAATATACCAACTTTCTCATCTCCATCTTTTTTCCCCATCCCTCTCCCCTCCTGCCCCACACATACACACTGATAATGAACAACTTCAGAGAAGACCTGGCTCAGTAAAAAGATCTGTACCCATGGGAACTAGAAGCAGCTAGATCAGCTGATAGAAATCCTAAAGCCATTAGGATCAAATATGCACACACAGAAACTCCATGCATTAAAGTTTTAGAGAATCTGAAATCAAACCTTCTCTTTCACCCTGAAAAAAAAATCACTGCATCTCATGCTGATCATATTCCAAGTTCAATCAATTGGGTTAACTTTTTTTGTGTGACTCCCTCACTCTTCCTAAATTTCTACTCTTTAACTTCCCTGCCTTTCACACCTCCATTCACCTAGCTAGAAGTTCCTTATAGAGAAATATTTGTGTTTCAGTGGGAAACTCTGAATCGTCCATAGAACGTCCTTCTGGGCTCTAGCCCTGTTCATTGTCTTTGAGCTACTTTGTAATTCTTTGTAAGCAGTAGGTAACTGATAGATATGTGAATTCTGTCTTGTTTGGTAGTATTTCTAAGTAACTTCCTCCCCCTTGTGGCAAAACCATTTTTTGGTGGACATTTGCAATGCATCTCAACATCCCTTTACCTCATAGAAATCTGAGCTGTTTTGAATTTTTCTTTAAAGCTGTTATAACATCTGCCTGGTTCTCTTATATCATAGAAGTGACAAAGACTCTCTCCTAGACCAAACCTTAGCCAAGCTTCTGTGAGCCCTCTTCTCAGCTAGGCCTTGACTTTGGCCCCACGTCCTTAGGGTCCTGCCTAGCCCAGTTGTAGCAAGAATCCCTCACCCTTGATATCTGATCAGTTGGGCCTGGCTTCAGCAAGATTATCCCTACTGTTAATATCTCCTCTTAGTAATTTCCCAACCATTGGCCCGCCTCTTTCTACTTCTAGGCTATAAATCCCTAACTGTCTTTGTTGTATTCGGAATTGAGCTCAGTTCTATACTGAGGTCTCTACCCTATGGAATTCAAGAAGAAAGATTCATTTGATGTGAACTCCAAGAAGGAATTTATCTACTGAGATTGACTCCCCATGGTCAACCAAGGGCACGAATTTTATGAATAATAGGAGTCTAATGGCCATTTGCTGACAGGGGCTCATCATGCACTCTGTACAATGGAAAGAACCTCAGACTGAACTCTCAGCTTCCCTGTCTAACTCAACCACTGCAGGCAAGCCCTGGTTCATCTTTCTACCAACAGGCTGAGACCTACCCTGTCCAATTAGAGCTGCACAATTTGTATACCCCATTTACTAGTAATTCACAAGCTCCCTGAAACTGAACTAAGAAGACAGAGAAAAGGTTTTTTCCTCCCCTACAACACTTTAGTAATGGTTTGTTAGTTTTATGTTTGGATTGAAGTTTTCCCTTGCTAAAGGACTAATACTATGTTGGGGGAGGGGGGATGCCCAGCCGGTGTTGCTCAGTGGTTGAGTGTCGATCCATGAACCAGGAGGTCATGGTTCAATTTCCCATCAGGGCTTGATCCCCAGCAGGGGGTAATGCAGGAGGAAGCCAATGTATGATTCTCTCTCATCATTGATGTTCCCTCTCCCTTCTCTGAAATCAATAGAGACGTATGTTTTAATATATTTTATTGATTTCAGAGAGGAAGGGAGAGGGAGAGAGAGATAGAAACATCAGTGATGAGAGAGAATCATCAATCAGCTGCTTCCTGCATGTTCCCTACTAGGGATTGAGCCCGAAACCTGAATTGAACCCGGGACCCTTCAGTCCGCAGGCCAATGCTCTATCCACTGAGCTAACCTGGCTAGGGCTGTAGGAACATTTTTTTTAAAATAATAATAGATTTTTGTTCTTCTTACCTGGACAATATAGTAGTTCCCCACACCCCTTATCTGCAGCAGATATGTTTCAAGACCCCCACTGGATGCCTGACACCATGGGTAGTACTGAACCCTGTATATATTATGCTTTTAATGCACATATATACCTACGATAAAGTTTAATTTCTAAATTAGGCACACTGAGAGGTTAATAGCAACTAATAACAAAATATACTGTAATAAAAGTTATATGAATGTGGTTGGTTACTCATTTCAGGGGATCCCTTTCTGAAGTCCTTGTATAGGACTTTCTGGCACAACACATTCTCATCAGTCAGAACACACTTTCTGTCATGTCTTCCACCCACTTATTGAATGCCTCTTTCATCATAACTAAGCACTTATCACGTACTGTGGCTGTAACTTTTGCAGTTTGAGGTGCGACAGCAAAACAGGCATGAATTTATTTTTCTACCTTCATAATTTCTTGGATAAAAGATTTGTTCTTACTGTAGATCTTAACCTCAGCATACATTTTTTTCTTTCCTTTATTAAGTTGAGAACTGTCACCTTTTCACTTAAAAGAGGCACTTTACGGCCAAAACCGGTTTGGCTCAGTGGATAGAGCATCGGCCTGCGGACTGAAAGGTCCCAGGTTCGATTCTGGTCAAGGGCATGTACCTTGGTTGCGGGCACATCCCCAGTGGGAGGTGTGTAGGAGGCAGCTGATCGATGTTTCTCTCTCATCGATGTTTCTAACTCTCTATCTCTCTCTCTTCCTCTCTGTAAAAAATCAATAAAATATATTAAAAAATAAAATAAAATAAAAGAGGCACTTTACGGCTTCTCTTGGGCATAACTGAATTGCTAGTATCACTACTACTCTTTTGCTTTGGGACCATTATTCAGTAAAATAAGGTTCACTTGAACACAAACACTCTGATATCATGATAGTTGATCCAATAACTGACACGCTACTAAGTGATATAAGTGATATACTGTGTGGATTTCCTGGACAAATGGATGATTCAGGTCCTGGGTGGACAGAGGGGAATGGCGCAGGATTTCATCAGGGTACTCAGAAGGGCACACAGTTTAAAAGTTATGAATTATTTATTTCTGGAATTTCCCATTTAATATTTTCAGATTCCGGTTGACCACAGGTAACTGAAACTGTAGGAAGCAACACTGCAAATAAGGGGGACTACTTATATTCATTACTCTCTATTGATAGATAATCTCACTTTACAGGTGAAATACTTAAGAAACTGTGTGAGGTACTCCCATTAAAACAAAAATTTCCTTGTTCATATTGACCCATAAAATTTTGGCAAAATTGAAAAGCCTAATTATCCTGTAAAATCAAAATCTATCCATTAATTCTAACAATAATGTGATACTCATCTCAAAGTCCTCAGAGGCCCTCCTCATAAAAAATGTTTCCAGGAGGACCAGTGAGACTGTAATGACTCCTGCTCTATCAGGCTCCATCTTTTTAACACTTCAGGCTTGTCAAATATTGTCAAGAATGACATCACATGCTCAGCAGGTGCAAGCTGCATTCTCAAAGAGAATATCACCAGATACACCTTTATGTGAGACTACAGTCAGGAGACTGAGGTTACTGGAAAGAGACACCAATGAAAGCCTTCCTTAAAATTGCACTGGAATGGACCATTTCAGGTCCTTTTAACTATGAGTACTACATTTAAACTCCAGGGTGTACATCCATGGGTACATGAATGCCAGTGTCAATGAGAGCACAAACAACACATCTTTGCCTTTTCAATGTGCACACCTGGGATTTTCTTTTGGTGTAATCAATCAAATGTATTTCCTATGGTTGCCACGTAAAAATACGCCATACATTTTGTGTATAATCATTCAGCATTTCCAAGTATTCAAAACAGAACTTCCCAATGCTCATTTTGTTAATATTTTGACATGCTATCTTACCAGGAGGTATCCAAGACACTATTTCACTAATGTGTGCAAGGATTTGTACTCTGTCTAGGAGTTCCTGAACTACATAGTCTTATCCATAATTTATATCAGACTCTGGCTCGGATAGCAAAAGAAATAGCTCATGCATTAGAAGTACAACAGACAAGCATACATTTATCAGATAGAAGTTTTAATTGCTTGCCAGCCAGGTTGGAGTCTGGGCAATGGGTTACACATGTTATTGTTCCTGAATAAATACCTTAGGAGAAATGGACCAATCAATCAATTAATTAAAAAGTCACTTGCTTACCTAATATTGATCAAACTAATCCTTGTGAATTGCTGTTCTAGTTGGTCTTAGGCACTAAGAAATTGGACATGAAGTGGATCCAATATTTCTTATTATGATGATGATCCTTAAGCTCTTGCCCTCCTACACAATCTAACATTCAGGTTCTAAAATGGTGCTACACAGTCATGATCCCAAAGCAACAGTTAGCTGTGATCAGACTCAGAAAGAACTTGCAGCCCTCGTGATCAACTAGTTTGGCTGCTGAGTGACTGAGAGGGGTAGTTGAGAAATTCTGGGAAAGTTGCTGGTACAGGGCTGGCAGAGCAGAGATGTAAGAACTAATTGAAGACAGTGACAGATGTAGCATAGACACGGCCTTTCCTGCATTGTTTAGAATTAAACTCCCAAAGTCTTCTGAGGAATCCAGAAACAACTTAATTTGCTTTCCTTGAGGACACAGTCTGCAACCTAAGGGCAGAACTCCCCATTTGGCCAATTGCTTGTTGCCTGCTCACCCAACAAGAGGAGAGCAAAGTTTACCATTTCCAACCATGACTGTGATTCTCCTTCTTTCCTCATTTTTCTTGTAGATAAATCCTTTGTTAGATAAAATCAGTTACTATTCAAGTAAGCTAGTGTGATAATAATTAAAAATATGTCTTTGGGTTATTCTTTGACATATTACCTAACCTCTATGAGCATTAGTTTTCTCATCTTGTTAAATGGAAATGCACAATACAAAAGTAAGTGAAATCACAAAGGTCTAGTGCCCAGCACTGCATCAGGCACATATACAGAAAAGCTGCCTTTCCAAGATGAAATTGATGATGAAGGCATTCAATCTCAGTCAACAAGCATTATAAGTGTTACAAATAAGAAGGAACTTAAGTGAAATGCTTGGAATCCTAATCAATCAATTAACCATGTGTGTGTTAGTTAAGCTCCCTGCTCTGAGGAATACAAAAGTACAAACAAGATCCCTTCTAAGGAAACAGGAGATGAGCTGGGGATATAAAATCACACATGAACCAATACTTCAAGAACATGGCCATGGTGGAATTTAACTATTTGAGTAAGCTGTAGAAAGGCAAAGGAAGGTACTTAATGAAAGAATGCAAGAAGGTATGAAGAAGCAGTCAGACTGACCAGATAATCAAAACCCCCCATCTTAGCTCCTTCTGGTGCCCAACAGAGTTCCTCAGAACCAGGTGTTATAGGCCAATACCCTATACCCGTGGTCGGCAAACTGCGGCTCTTTGACCCCTTGAGTGTGGCTCTTCCTAAGCCTTAGGAGGACCCTAATTAAGTTAATAACAATGTACCTACCTATATAGTTTAAGTTTAAAAAATTTGGCTCTCAAAAGAAATTTAAATCGTTGTACTGTTGAGATTTGGCTCTGTTGACTAATGAGTTTGCCAACCACTGCATTGAAACCTTGAGTTATAGAAACTTTTTAAAAATATATCTTTATTGATTTCAGAGAGGAAGAAGGAGAGAGAGATAGAAACATTAATGATAAGAGAATCATTCACTGACTGTCTCCTGCATACCCCTCACTGAGGATTGAGCCTGCAACCAGGCATGGGCCCTGACCAGGAATCAAACCATGACTACCTGGTCGATGCTCAACCACTGAGCCATGCTGGCCAGGCTACAGAAATGTTCTGTGCCTCAATTTCCTCACCTGTAAAATAGAAATAATAATAATAATACCTAATTCAGAGACTTGTGTGCTTTAATGTAATAATGGGTGAAAAGTGTTTAGCAAAGTGCCAATATAAAGCAGGCAATATGTGGTAGTTATCAATTGTGATTTTGGTTCTCTATCATTGAGATTGCCTTTTTATTCTTCATTCTCTCTCAGCCCCTCTTGCAGCCATGTTGCAAAACACCACTTTGTTCACAGTTTCATAAATATTCTTTGCTCTTCCTGACTTATACCTTTGTTTACACTGAATGTACCATAGCTCCCTCCCCTGACTCATACCCCTCCCAAGCATATGCAGAACTCATCCACCTATCACAGTTGTTCTCAGCTTTCAAGGTCTAGATTAAATCAGGAAAGTATTCCAGATTCATTCTTCCATAACTCAATTACATGTTTTTACCTTTATAAAACACTCTTCATGGACAGCATTGTGTTGTAATCGCTTTTGTAGTAAAAAGCCTCAAATTGGTTTATGAGGCAAGCACACTGCTTTTTTAACCTTTGAGTTCCCTATAGCCAGCCAAAACAACATACATAGTAGGCTAGTTAGATCACAAAAGTCAGAAATTCTTGATTTAGGCTCTCCAAAGATAGAGGCCAAGTAGCTCCCCTGCTTTTAGAGTCTGCTTGGATTCTACACTGCATGAGTAGGCCATAAGAGGAACTGATCTAGGAATGAGAACTAACAATCTGATAATTTGTGTTAATTGTGAGTCTTTACAGCATTTTGAACACTAAACATTTTTGGGAGCTGAAACTCCTGACAATGGTAATGCATAATACCTGGATTGTATGTGTTCTGCTGTGTGTGCAGGTGAACATGTGTATAACTCAAAATGCCACAGATCTCTGTATTGGTGGCTTCCTTCATGTTTTTCAAGGTTTCACAGTCTACACTAACTAGAGCATATTCTGCTTTAGCCTAGCCTGATGTTAAGAGCTTTCATTGTATGGGAATGTATAGGGATTACTTTTTAACAAAAGCCAAGTGTTCCCTTTGGATGAATTGAATTCCTCAATCTCACAGTGATATAATTCCATTTGTCAGTTTTGATTTATTAATTATTTGTATATCACATTTTCCTTTGCATGTTTATTAGTTTCATTAAAGATATTCTGCTCATCTCTTTCATGGTCACCTCCTTCAAGGCAAAGAAAGGCTCAGCCAGGGGCCTTCAGAGCTCCCTGTAGAGTTTCCTCCCTCTCTGCTGAGTCCTGTCAGCTGCTACCCTTCCACCAACTGCACACACAAAAAAAAATTCCCAGCTTTTGTGATGGAGTTTAGAAAACATACATGAAATCTAATAACTTTGGTTATGACATCCAAGCAGTAGTCATGGTAAATGGCTTATCTTGCTGACAAACGTGCTTTGTGAAAATCACCCCTTACCTTGGGCACTGGACAAGAAAAACAGGATAATCCAAAGACTCCTGTGCAGTCAAGGAACCTGGAGCCATCTGGTTAGGACAAAAATAAATCAGCAATGAAGCCTGCGTGACTCTCCAAGGATTTGCACGACTGAATTAACATCACTCAGATTGAAGAGCAGAGGAAACTGGGAGCAGAGACCATTGAAACAACTTTAATTAACACACATGGAGAAAGGGGCTTTTAGAATTAAATGCCTTGTATTATCTGGCACTAAAACCCAGACAATAATTTGAAAGTCCTCCAGCTTGATAAAGACAAATCAAAGCATGTATTGATTGAATGGGTAAGCTCTGATCTGGTACAAAAACACAACAAAACAAAACAAAATAGAAACGTCATTTAATGGGCACTTAAACCAGAGGGTTCAGCTAAGCAGAATTATTTGGCTGTGTTGTGTTAAGAAAGCCAGTTATCTGATACACCACTCTGAGAACTCTGTGTGAACTTATATTTTGACATGTGCTTAGGGCTACAGACCTAGAAAATTACAATTATGCCGTATTTGGAACACAGTTATACTAAAAATTGTTTGTTGTTTATCTGGAATTCAAATTTAGCTGGGCAGCCTATATTTTATCTGGCAACCCTCCTCTGGAAACAAAGACCACCCAAATGAGAACAAAAAGAGGCTATTTATTCAGAGCTTGTTATAACAAGGGAGTCATCAGCAACCATCACAGTGTTTGGCAGCCATTCAAAGGCAGGCAGGGTTGTGGGAAAGCTTTATAGTGGAAAAAAAAACCAGAAAGCTGCAGGTGTGCCCTATGGAAATAAACAAAGGCCAACCAAATGAGAAAAACAAAGGCTATTCATTCTGAACTTGCTATAGCAAGAGTCAGCTACCATCACTTGTGTTTGACAGAGACTCAAAGGCAGGCAGGGGAAAGGGAAAGCTTATAATTATAGTGGAAAAAGGGGGAAGGCTTCAGGTGTGCCCTGATGGAGGCTGTTGGCCTGGGGAAGCCGCAGGTGGGCTAATTAGAAGCGGACCATCCTATGTGATTGATTAAGGAAGTTGATTTGGCTTTCTCCTTTTAGTCCAAGGGGGAAGGAAGCAGGGACAAAAATTAGGGAAGCTGTCAGTTATTAGTCAAGTTCTTGCCATTTGGGGCTGATTGTAACAGAAGTTATTGTTTAACTTCCTGGATTGTCACTAGAGAGAGCAATTTGGCTTTCTGCAAGTTTGACTTACAGCAGTATACCTTCCTGGGATGTTTACTGTGGATAAGTGGTTGGTTTCCTGGGTAAGCTGCTGCAGGCGGTGGGTCAAAGTTCTACTTTTATATGTGGTCTTGCCATTGTCCACATCTATATTCAGTCTCTCAGGCCTGCTTAGAGGCTGTTGGCAAGGGAATCTAGCGGTGACCTAATTAAAAATGGGTACCTTATGTGATTGGTTTGGGAAGTAGATTTGTCTCTCTATGAACAATTGAGTTGGAAGCTGGGGTCAAAAATAGGGAAGCTGATAGTCATTGATGAAGTCCAGATGGTCCGGGACCAACTGATGCAGATGTTATGGTTTGGCTTGCCCAGCAGGTTGCAACAGAAATGGTGATTTGGCAAAGGACCTGAACAGACATTTGTCCAAAGAAGATATAAAAATGGCCCAAAAGCACATGAGAAAGATACTCCATATTCTTTTTTTTAATGTTTTTATTTTTTGAGAGAGAGAAGGGAGAGGGATAGAGATATAGAAACATTGATGAGAGGGACACATCAATCAGCTGCCTCCTGCATGCCCCCCACCGGGGATCGAACCTCCAACCTGACATGTGCCCTGACCAGGAATTGAACCAGAGACCTCTCAGTTCATGGGTCCATGCTTAACAACTGAGCCACACTGGCTGGGCAATGTTCAACATTCTTAGTTATCAGGGAAAATGCAAATCAAAACCACAATGAGATATTACTTCACGCCCACTAGGATGGCTATAATTAAAAAGACAGAAAATAAAAAGTGTTGATGAAGAGGTAGATAAATGGAAACCCTCCTACATTGCTGGTGGGAATGTAAAATGGTGCAGCTGCTGTGGAAAACAGTTTGTCAGTTCCTCAAAAAGTTAAACATAGTTACCATATGACCCAGCATTCCACTCCTAGCTATACACCCAAACCAAATGAAAACACATGTCAAAAAAAACCAACTTGTACACAAATGCTCCCAGCAGCATTATTCACAGAGAAAAAACTGGAAGTAGCCTAAATGAATGTATAAACAAAATGTGGTCTATCTATATAATGAAATACTATTTAGGCATAATAAAAACATGAAGTACTGATACACGGTACAACATGGTTGAACCTTGAAAACATTATGCAAAGTGAAAGAAGCCAAACACAAAAGGCTACATATTGTACAATTCCAATTATATGAAATGGCCAGAATAAGCAAATCCATACAGGCAGAAAATAGATTGGTGGTTGCCAGAGGCTGGGAGGAGAGGAGAATGTGGAATGACTGCTGATGGCTATAGGTTTACTTTGGAGGATAGTAAAAACGTTCTAGAATTAGATAATAGTGATGGTTGCACAATTCTGTGAATATACCAAAACACTGCATTGTACACTTGTAAAATATGCTATGATTCTCTTTAGAAGAACATTTTCTAGTCACTTATTGTGATGATTGAGGTATGTCTTCTAACTTTTACAACCTTCCTGAATGTACATCCTTCTGGACACCTGTGCAAAATGGACCTTCTTTTGGTCTCTTGTCATTGTCCCATGTTGTTCTGCAGATAACAGCTTCAATATCTTCTATCTTAGTGTGTGAATCCATTAGTTATGACTGCCAAATGCTGAGGGAAGCCCAAATAAAACACTTGAAAAAGTATCACAGGCCACTTTGTATAATAAACTATTTCAAATGATATTGTAAGAACTACAAAATACATTAAATTTCGGACTTATATTTTCCTTCTTCCCTTCCCTTCCACTTTTATTCTCTCTCTACAGACTTAGAAAATATAATTACTATAGACTCTGGTTAGTTTTATCACATGAGGTAAACTCGGAAGGCCGTAAATTGCAGCTCTAATGCCCCTTTAGTTCTCTCTGCTTCACGATCTACAAATGGTTAGCTTGTGTTTTATTTCTTTCAAGCAGGGCCTTCTAAAAGTGTTTGATCTGGCCTGGCCCGCGTGGCTCAGTGGTTGAACGTAGGTTTATGAACCAGGAGGTCATGGTTCGATTCCCAGTCAGGGCATATGCCCAGGTTGTGGACTCAAGCCCCAGTGTGGGGCATGCAGGAGTCAGCCAATCAATTATTCTCTCTCATCATTGATGTTTCTATCTCACCCTCCCTTCCTCTCTGAAATCAATAAAAATATATAAAAATAAAAGTATATTTTATAAAATAAGTGTCTGATCTACCAATCTTCAATTGATTTTAAAATGGTAAGAGCTTGCTCTAGCCAGTTTGGCTCAATGGATAGACCATCAGCCTGCGGACTGAAGGGTCCTAGGTTCGATTCCGGACAAGGGCACATGCCCAGGTTGCAGGCTCAATCCCCAGTAGGGGGCGTGTGGGAGGCAGCCAATCCACGATTCTCTCATTATATTTCTATCTCTTTCTCTCTCTCCCTTCCTCTCTGAAACTTTCCTATGTGCCAAGGAAGAGATTTTTAGACAAATGCAACCCAGAGCTGAATCTAGTAAAAGGTGCCTAACTGGAGAAGAATACTCATACAGAAGGTGATTGACTTTTGACAATAAGGCAGCCTCACTTGCCCAAGTGACTCTCCCACAGGAAGATGTTATTCATGTGGCTTTCTTTATAACCTGGTAGGAAAGACTGTTTCTCTAGGGCAGTGATGGCAAACCTTTTGAGCTCGGCGTGTCAGCATTTTGAAAAACCCTAACTTAACTCTGGTGCCGTGTCCCATATAGAAATTTTTGGATATTTGCAACCATAGTAAAACAAAGACTTATATTTTTAATATTTATTTTATATATTTAAATGCCATTTAACAAAGAAAAATCAACCCAAAAAATAAGTTCGCGTGTCACCTCTGACACGTGTGTCATAGGTTCGCCATCACTGCTCTAGGGTCTGGTATCAGGAGCTCCAGGTTAATGAGCCCTTGTTTGCCATCTTACAGGACATGGCAGTATGAGTTCAATTAAGACAAGCCAGAGCAGGGGTCCTCAAACTTTTTAAACAGAGGGCCAGTTCACTGTCCCTCAGACCGTTGGAGGGCCAGACTATAGTTTAAAAAAACTATGAACAAATTCCTATACACACTGCACATATCTTATTTTGAAGTAAAAAAAACAAAACGGGAACAAATACAATATTTGTATTTGCATGTGGCCCGCGGGCCGTAGTTTGAGGACCCCTGAGCCAGAGCCTAGAAGTAGACTCACTAAGCCCTTATCACAAGGGAGCTGGCTCAACATCAGAGGTGGAGGCAGGATGAATATAATGCCCAGAAGCTATAGGAACAAATGGCAGAGGGCAATCCAGGTGAGTAGTTAGGTGAGTTGGGTGAGGAGTCAGAGAAAACTCCAATTTGAAGTGCCAAGAATTCCAGGTAGCTCTTGGGGTATGGTGGCACAGTATCAAGGGGAAGGCTATACATCAATGGTGATTCTTGGAAGTCTAAGTAGGTTGGCAGTCAGCCCCAGGGACATCTTGTAATAAGCAGCAAGACTAAAGATACTGGACTGGCTTTCAAAGCCAAAACTTGACTCCGTTGGTAGACTGGGGAAAGGTGTTAGGATATACTGGAAATATACAAGCACCGAGTTCTAATCTGAGAGCATAGGGGAGGGGACGGTATTGTTATGACAGATACCCAGGTTGGAGAGCTATAAAGACCCAGAAACAATTTAGAAGCAAGTAGACCTAACCCTGAGCCCCAGAATGTTAAAACTGACATTTAGTGAAATTTCACAGAAGTCACTTTACTCATCAGAATCACAGAGCAGAACTCCTTAGACAAACGCAGTTTTCCAATAGTTGGTGCTTTTGCGATTAAGTATTTTCCCATGTAGTGTAGTGAAGGCTTGAGGTGGGGGCGGAGGTGGA